ATACATTTAACAATGCAGCGTGCAGTGAATGGGAACAGTGCAACGCTTGCAGGCGTGAAGTCCTTTGTCGTTGTTATTATGGGTATGCTCTGGCAGATGTTACCACGGCGTCCCTGGTCTACAAACACTGCCGCGTATTTACACATCAGGCAAGTCTCATGGCACTGCGGTCGAGTCTGACAATTCTCCACCGATGGCTACCGCCAACGCATTGCGCACAAACTCGGCGAATGTTGTTTCGGATTTACCAGCGCGACGAAGAAAGGGGGTTGTGGTTTGTTTACGTAGAAAATCTCGGCAAAAAAAAAAACAACACTGTGCAAAGCAGCAGCCGTGGCTTAGGCCTGGGGTACACACGTAGGTGAAAATCTGCACCATTGACCCCTTAAGCTTCCTCTGCTGACACTCCCAGACTGAGCCCCGAACCAACTCAAGGCCGTTTCCCTGTCAAAGACTCGAGGCCTATGGAGATGAATCTGGGCCCTCGACGTGACGACTGCCATGCATGGATGGAAAACCCCAGGGCTGCCATCGCGGACGAGAAGCACGCACGCCCGGTGCTCCTGTGTGAACAGGTTTTTATTGGATACATCTTAAAGGGAAACCACATTTTGCTTTGTAAACATATGACAAAAGCAGGCGTCTTAGAAAGCCCTGATAACACTTAACTTTTATGTTTCCCCAAGATACTCCCATTTCCGCCGAACAAACGCCGAGAAAAAAAACCATTCAGCTTCAGCTACGTTTAATCATCGTTTTAAAGGCCACCATTTGGAGACCTGTTGCACTAAGAAATGTGCGCATCATTTATTTTATTTTTTTGAAAAAACCTGACAAATCGCTTGCACGGATAATTCTTAAGCGCATCCCCGTCCGCTGCGTTGTTTCACTTGGAACGACTCGGGCTCGGCTCGAAATGCCGGGGCCGGCCACACGTTAGGGCACGCGGCATTATCAAGCGACGAATCGCCGAGCCGAGCCAAGCCCGCGCTTGCCATTTAAAAAACGTGCAGCTGTTGGCACGGCTCGGAGTGAACAGGTGAAGGGCCCCCCCCTCAACCCCACCACATCCTCACCACCATCAGCCAACTTGCCACCAGCCCCCCCCCCCCGCCAGGACACGGAACTCACTTAAAGTGCGAAAAGCAAACACGTTCTTTTCCTTTGCTGCACGACACAGGGGGGTGGGGGTAGGGGGTTTTCCAGCCATGATGGCCCGCCTGTCCGCTGCATCTTACTAAAAGAATGATGCTGGCAAAATCGAGGCATCTACATATGAAAGGAAAGAACTCACGGGGGCCACGTGTTAGAGGGGAGCTCTGGATTTGAATTTTTTTTCTTCGTAAAACGCAATTTACCTTCAAAAAAGAAAATATCAAATGGAGAAACATCTCCAGCGAGTCATATGTTACACCAACATGCAACACGTATTACAGAAGCGGCTTTATTCTCAGAGACTGGTATTGAAAAATTGAACAGTCGTATGCCTCTCAATTCAGTGAGTACACGCACACTCCTTTTCAAGAGTAGTCTTACTGACACTTTTTAGGCTTCCGTCTTACAATAACTTTGCTTTTTGTTGTTCTATGGTCCCCGCTGCAGATGAAATCAGTGTGGGTCACCTCTGCCACAACTCCAAAGTGTTCAGAGAAGACAACAATTGGCTCAGTTGCCTTTGGTTATCGTGAAACCCTGTGATAACCAACACTTGCATCGCCGATACAGCCATTAAGCTTATTTTAAAGTGATTAATTTGTGAATTCGTGCCCCAACCAAGTGAGAACAATGGAAGATGATAAAAATACATCACAAACAACCAGGGAGATCCGGAAATGGGACTGATTTCAGCCAGAATGTAGATGACCCCCAATATTATTCACTTAGGGCAACTGTACGATGATAATGATGTCTCACAAGACAATGCACGATTCACCAAGCCGTAGAAAAATATTGTAATTCTGGTGAATAAACCCCACTTTCTTTCTCCCTGCTGGTGCTAGAAATAATGGACCACTGTACTGCATTCTGCTGACTCTCACTGGGGGCAAATGATAATGACAGTAGCACATGATGGTTCAAAAGAAGTCTTCCTTTGTGCAAGATAGGACACTAGCACATCTGTACTTGATTTTCCAGCTGCTCTGCACTATGGAGAGGGGGGGGGCAAAGTCTTCACTTATTCTGGGTTAGAGGCTGCAGTTCAAAGAAAGCATTAAGGGGCAGTTGCAATGTGTGGGACCGCGACACGGTGTCAAAACGGAACAGCAAGGACGTGTTAATTGGCTGCAATTGCAGACAGAAACGTGGCGTGTGCCGTCTCATTCTCTTCGGTTTTATCTTGTCCAAGTGCCTTAGCTTGGCTCCAGGAGCCGAGGGACCTAAAACTCACGCTACGAGGATTCGATGAGAAAGAAAACTTGAAAAGAAAAACCAGCGGCAATAAAGACCAAAAAACAACAACACTAGAGGCAACTTAGGATGGCAAACGCTGCTTTCATTATTTGCTGTTACTTCTGTTTTGGGATGATTTTGAAAATAGGTCAAACGTAATCATTTGAAATCAGTGGCAGCAATGATAATTGAAGGCAATGTTTTAATCGACACAGCTCTTTTTCAATACACATCAGTGCCATATAAAATCACCAGCACGTGGTATTTTAAAGACTTAATAATATAAATTATTTGGCTCTATTATCACTCGCAAAATCCTACATTCAACACAAGCACAGCTGTTACTAAAACATTTGTTATATAACAAAACAAGACACGCTTTTTTTATTTAAAGCTTTCGTGACTGCAGCGATTCATGTTCTTGGTTCTTAATTATTTTATTGTTTCCCTTCTACGTGACTTTACCGAAAGAACCAAGCACAAGACACGCTTTATACATATAAGCGTCTTGTCGAAATAACATACAGTGCAAATAATAAGCAGCTCATATGGCCTATAGGGGATTACTTAAAAATTTCAAGTTGGCTTATCCTGCTTGTATCTCATTAAGAGGCTCAGGTGGGTTGATAGTTTTGGGTTAAGGTCAAGGTTCAGACTGTTCTTGAGCTTGGTTATGGTTCGTTTCAGTGCACACCCGTGACAAGCCAATGAAGTGTTCTTAAAGAAAGCTAAAGTTGTTTGCGTGTCCTATATTTAACCATTTGGGGTGGTTACTTGTGTCACCACAACTTGCACCATCCTCTGGTGTCATTTTTCTATTTTGTGATTTTAACTATTTCTATTTATTTTACCAGGTAAGGCCCACCGAGCTCTATAGCTCTTTATTTTTTCAGAAGCAACCTGGCCACATATGATAGCCCAACGAAGTGGCTCATTGTGTGGAAATGTATCGCAACCAAATACTCTAAACGCACGTTGTTTCTAAATGTGGAGGGGAAAAAAACCGGAGGACCCGAAGAAAAATCCACGCGACCACGAGGAGAGAGAGAGAGTGAGTGGAGACACGCAAACTCCAAATTTACAGCAGCAGGCGTCAGGATCTGAACCCAAAACCCACGACCCTCTTCCTCCAGGGGAGGTACAGCCAACATCTCGCCACCCCGTGGGCTCTCTGCAAATCCAGCGACACACAAATGGCCAGCCACCACCAGAATACAACGACGACACCCAATCAACCACACACAGCAGACGCCACGCTGAGATGCCTCCCCACCTCGCCAATAGTGAAATTTGAGGGTTTAGATAATTACTCTTAAAACAGATGCCGTGAGAAATCAAACCGGTGAGCGCGTGTACACCGCGAATGTCATCGGCATACTGTGCGTACGAACTGTGTATGTTGTACACACACACAGTCACAGGCAGAAGCAGCAACAGCAACAACAACCGCCGATCGACACTAAGTGGCGGTGATATCACCACGGAGCTTGTGCCAGGCTAGGTGCACCTCGAGGCCACCGTGAAGTGTACAAAGGGTCGATGCTGGCACGTTACGAGACGGACCCAGGTTCACACACACACACAATGTATACACTCACAACAGACAATACAATTCTAAAGCATCGTGTGTATATATAGACAGTACATACACAATGCATACTTACAGCACAATACATACACGGTACAGTTTATGTTACAGTGTACAGACACTGCACAGTGTACACACAAGCCATATAAACGCACAACACTTAAATCACAGTGTGTACGCAGTAGACTTTCCCTGCATTGAATACACAGTACACATGCTGGCACTGCATTCACAGGATATTTGCAATGTCCCTACTCACACCACAATGTATATATTATATACGGAGCACAAACAAAATCCATGAGGCACTCTCACATAGTTCACACGGGGCACAAATACTAAGACACACAAATGTAGTGTATACACAATCACTGCACAATTGTGTATATGCGCACACACGGTATATACACACACACAAAGTACAGTACATATACAATACACACAACGTATTTGCAGTATACATACTCACATAGCGTGCAGCGTATACACACAAATCAATTGTTCAGTGTACAGCCTGTGTACACGGTGTATAAACACTGCACACACACACACAAAGTGCAGTACACACACGCATTAAGAGCCCTCTAACGTACATAAAGTGTGCACATTTGGAGTGCTGTAGCAGTGCACAGAGACACTGCAGTGCCCCCTAACACACAATGGACACACCATAGTGTTCTAACGTACACAGAGTGTCGTGTACACACAACACACACACACAATGTAGTGCCATAACACAGCGCAGTGGTACACGTGCAGTGTTCGCTAACACACAATGGACACACTCTAGTGCTCTTGCATACAGTGCAGTGTACACACTGCACGGCGAACACACAACGCGCAGTGTGCACATACAGTGCAGTATAAACACAGACACACACACACCGTAGTTCCGTCATACAGTACAGGACACAACACGCCGCGCGGTATACGCATGCACCGTAGTGAAATCGCTCACACAAGACAGGGCGCCCGTGCACACACGCATCGCAAGCGTCGTGTAAAGGCGGCGCCAACGTACCCAGCTTGCCCTTGGACTCCTCGAGGCGCTGGATCTGGTTCTCGAGGTACACCATGGCGAGCACCAAGCCGAGCGCCGCAAGGAACTGCAGCTTGGACGGCATGCTTCGCGCTAAGCCCATCAACTCCGCCTTGTCATGCCCGCGCGCGAGCACGTACCGACGCGGGACGGGGCGAGCGGGACACGCGAAGAAGATCGCCGGAGCCGGGGTTGGCGCCTGTGCGCCGTTCAGGGCAAAACTCACGGCGGGCCGGGCCGCGTTGTGTTGCGCACACACGCACACGCGCACCAAACGCACGACACACGAGCGAGCGTGTGTCGTGCGTTCTCTCTCTGTGTGTTGCAGGCAAGGAGGGAGGAACACGTGCTTGTGGGTGCTGTGCGTGATCTGCGTGTTGTGTGTTGCGCGCGCGCGAGCACGTGTACTACACCCTAGGTCCCGCGCGCGCGCGCGCCCCCCCCCTCTCGCCCCTCCCCTCTCGCCCCCCCCCCTCTCGCTCCCCCCTCTCGCCCCCCCCCCCTCTCGCTCCCCTCCCCCTCTCGCACCCCCCGCCTCTCGCCCCTCCCTCTCGCCCTCTTCCCCCTCCCTCTCGCTCTTCCCCCTCCCGCCCCTCTCCCTCCGCCCCCTCCCCACCCCTCTCCCTCCGCCCCCTCCCCACCCCTCTCCCACCCCACCCCTCTCCCTCCCCACCCCTCTCCCTCCCCGCCCCTCTCCCTCCCCACCCCTCTCCCTCCCCGCCCCTCTCCCTCCCCACCCCTCTCCCTCCCCGCCCCTCTCCCTCCCCACCCCTCTCGCGCCTTCCCAGCTGCACGGCGGCACGCGCCGCCTTCACCGAGGGGGGGGATGGGCAGGGAGGAGGGGCTAACGGGAGGAGGGGAGGGGACAGGGGTCAGTGAGAGGGGCGGGGTTTGGGTTGGGAGAGTGACAGTTGAGAGGGGGGGGGGAAGGTGGCTGAGTGGGGGCGGGGTGAGAGTGGAGAGGAGGGGGCTCGAGAGTAAAAAGGTGGGGTGGGGAGGGGCGGGGTTTGTGGGGGGGGGGGATTAGGTGAGAGGGAGGCAGAGACGGCTGTGGTTGGTGGGAGGGGAGGTAATAGAGGGGGGGGGAAGGGTCGGGATTGGGTGGAGTTTGGGGTACGGGGGAGGGGTAGGCGGGGTAAGAGGGGCGGGGTAAGAGGGGCGTGGCGAAATATCTTGGTTGGTGAAAGGGGCGGGGTTACGTATTTCAATCAGTTAAACATAACAGTTAAGCATGTTCACATATTTTTGTCCTCGTATATGTAACAAAAAAAAAGATGTAAGTGACCATACTCGTCGCCGCCTGTCAACATTTATTTTGTTTCGATCTAAAAAAAAACCACAACTCGTAAACGCGTCATTAATAATAATGACAATCGCTGGTGTTATAACGGCACTAACTCCGAGTCTGCATCTGTCTTGCACGGCCGAGCCACCACCACCACCACCCCGAATGCGTTTATTTTTTTATATTCTGTTATATATATTTTTATTAATATGACGAGACTTCCAAAGAATATCTTCTACCGGAAGACTTCCCTATTTTTGTTTAATGATAATTTTAATTTGTGTTAATCTCTCCCCGAGCGAGAATAAAACCCGTGGATCTTCCGGAAGACGTCCAGCGGCTGACGTTGCCATTGTAGAGTGTCACTTTTGTTTTTACGCCAAATAAAACAATCGGTAGAAAACTTCCAGAATATATAACTTCCGGAAGACGTTGACACTCAGCGGCTGATGCTGACAAAATCAAATAAAGCAACGTTTCGGCTATAAGTTAATCGTTTGTGTTGCGTGATTAAAACCCTCGGTTGAGTCTTCTGAAGGATACCGGGTTTCGCTCACGAAACTGTTCAGTAAGACCCATTTCGTTAATTTGCCAGTCATTGCCTTTTTTTTTTTTACCAAAAACGTTATAAGCATTATTGTCTAATTCACACACACACATAAATACTCGTTCTAATGTGTTATTCACATCCTCCCAATGATGGCAAAAAAATTCTGAATACGAGACATTACGTCAGGCATTAGAATTTGGGACCGCTTTGGACGCCTACGTTGAAATGTTTCACGTCGCGACGTGATTGGCCGAGCGCGTGGCGAGCTGACCAATTGGCGAGGCCGTCCTCACTCGCGCGCTCGCGCGCGTGCGCAGTTGGGGAGCGAGAAGCCGGCTCGCGGGGGGGGGGGGCTTCGCCGCGCGGGGGGGAGAGCGAAAGGGAGAGCGGAAGGGAGAAGGAGGGAGAGCGGGGAGAGGGCGGGGAGAGCGGAGAGAGGGGGAGGGAGAGCGGAGAGAGAGCGTAAGGGAGAAGGAGAGAGAGCGGAGAGAGGGGGAGGGAGGGGGAGGGAGAGCGGAGAGAGAGGGCGGGGAGAGCGGAGAGAGCGGTAGGGGGAGGGAGAGAGAGAGGGAGGGAGAGGGAGGGAGAGCGGAGAGAGAGCGTAAGGGAGGAGAGAGGGCGGAGAGAGGGGGAGGGAGAGAGAGGGGGAGGGAGAGACGGAGAGAGAGGGGGAGGGAGAGCGGCAGACATGGCGGCGGTGCGGCCTGGGCTCTTGCTGCTGCTGCTCAAGGCGGTGAGCAAGCCAAGAAGGGGGACGAGGCCGCCGTGACACCACCGACACACGACGCTGCGTCGCCAGCGGTGCACATCAACACACGCCATGCGCTTAACTCAAGCCGTTCGACAATAACGGCACCGCCGCGTATGAAAACGTGTGTTGTAAGGCGACGTTTCGGGCAATGTGCCCTTCTGCATGGTAGAAGTTATCGTCTCTCTCGATAGAGGCAGAGATGTAAACCACACCTGCTACGGCGAATGTCTTGCTTTGAGGATGCTGTGGCAGAAAGAGATCACCGCTACGAGAGATATCTCTGGCAATGGGGAAGGATGCGCGGTGTTGATGACGTGCAGAGTTTTTTCCTTTCTTGTAATAACAAAAGGTAGTGGGAGGTCAGCGACAGAAAACAAACGCAGCTTATCAAACCCGTCCGCTTCGTTTGTCGTGGGATATCCGACACGAGACAGTTTGGAAGTCTCGTCAATTCGGGCTTGTGGTGGTGATGGTGGGGGGGGTGTGTGCCGCTTTAAATGTAGCGATCGAGCGCGTTGTGATTTACACGAGCAAAGGCCGCTATTTCATTCACCCAAGTTTAAACTAAGTTTAAAGTTCAAACTAAACTTGGTAGTTCATTCAATCCGCACAGACCAGCGGGGTGAAGTACGCTCCCGTAACACTCCCCCCCACGACTCGCACTGCGTGGCCGAGGCCTTCGTCTAGCAGTAGATTGACAAAAAGGGCGTCATACTCTTTTGGTTCTATTCGGTTAAGTCACGTAGGTAAAAAATAAAACAACAAAAAATCACGACGTTTCGGTCACAACACAAGCGGCCTTCATCAGTTGAAGGGATCAGGCTGTCTCGAGGACAGCGCTGGAGTGAAACACAGCCACGCTCAGACCGCGGACCTTTAAGCTGTGTGCGAGGAAACAAGGCGCCTTGACAAAGGAACTTTACCGAATAGAACCAAAGAGTATGGATCCTTGCAGTCACGAAAGCTTGTTACAGACGTTTAAGGTTCTCGCAGTCTCGTTTTCTGCATTCACCAGGCCACTGGTGTGATGGACCGAAGTCGCACACGCGCAACGCACCGCTGCTGTAACACGTTGACATCATGAAGCCGTGATCCATCCACTGACTGCTGGACAAATACGCATTTTCAAGATTGGGCGGCGGGGAGGGGGGGGTTGTGTCTGGAGTTGTTTATATCAACAGTTGTGTGTTCGTGTATACAAGTTTTAAAGACACGCACGCAGTTGCGCGGAGAGGCGAAGGCGTTTTGAACGCGGACGCAGCACAGCTGATGGTGACGTGGAGAGGGCCCTCGCGTGTTTCTCTGCCATTGGTCGCGGCCGCCACAGGAACTTGGGACTTAAGTTTATAATTCACGTGGAGACCGCAACAAGGCACGAATAAGCTGCTTATATTTACGTTTATTGAGCCGTGGTGTATGTTTATTTTGTAGCAATGCTAATGGATTTTTTTTAAAACTAAACTATACACGTATTGATTTATTTTACCACTTAAGGGCAACTGAGCTATGTGTAACTTTTTGCTGAAGCGACCTGGCAGCTCAACGATGTGGCGTATCACGTGGACATTTATAGCAGCCAAATACTCGAAACGCATGTTTATAAATGTGGAAGGAAAAAGCGGAGGACGCGGAGAAAAATCCACGTGACCACGGGGAGAGAGAGAGAGACATGCAAGGTCCAAATATACAGGCGTCAAGGTCCGGATCGAACCCACTAACTCCTATATACCAGGCGAGGTAGTTAACATATCATCATGCTTGGTAGCGGGGTCCGAATGACGGTGTAGGACAATGAGCCTGAACCAGAAGTTCAGAGTTCAAGTCCTAGAGGCTCAAAAAGTCCATAGTATCCTTGTCACAGACACTGAGCCAGCACTGAGGTTTACAGTTCAGCTCCTGGGTAGAATGTCAGGTGGTTCATAATGACCATACCAGAGCAACGGAACAGCTGAGAGCAAGAGTTAAAGACCTGGGGCTGTGTGTGTTTCATGAGTTCATATAAAGGTCTTGTTAGAGCAGCAAACCAGCATCACAGATGTTGGGATGGGATAGGGTCCTGAGGTGAAGAGTCTCAGGGGAGGGGAGTGAGGGGTTCATTAAAGACCCTGTTAGTGCACTGGTCTGGTACCTCTGAGATCTTGGTTACAAGCCTTAGGGCTGACTGTTGAACCAGTACGGCTGAGATCATGATTTTGAATCTTTGCATCTACAGCTGATTAAACCAGCTTCTGGGTTTTTACTGGGTGGATAATCTCAACTCGTCTCGTATATAATTGTGCGTTATTCATCATGTAACGCATTGGAAATTAATGTGGAATGAAAAGGGAGCCTTTTGTAAACGGATACATTTACTGTATGAGCACAAGTCCTCTACTGATTTTGCACAGGCATTGAATTACCCTTACAATTGTTCCTTGATTGTTGTTGCTTGCATTTTGGTGTGTATAAAATTGTAGAAAATTACCAACAGCGATGTCAGTAAGAATTTGTTATGTCCAGTAGAGCTGCAGCCTGCAGTATCACGCAATTTGGCACATCGGTTCCGTGCTAGAATTGAATTAATGCTAAAATTGGATTAATGGAAGGGCTTGGGTGTGTTTCTCAAATGGAAGCTGCTTCACACATTTTGATGGCATTTGTTAACATTGGTTTAACATATTTGTCAAAATGCTTTGCAAACCACAAAAAGAAGGGTTTGAGACATATATGTGCCATGCCCATTCACACCACAAGCAGTGACTAACTGGCACCAACGTAAATTTCCACATCTGCCCTGTTCCACGTTTGCAGCGTTCAACCGCAACATGTGTTGTGTGTGTGTGTGTGAATTCAGATATCGGTGTATGCCACAGAGTTAACGTCGGAAGCATGCAGAGACCTGGGCTTCTCCAGTAACCTGCTATGCAGCTCGTGCGACTTGCTGTCCCAGTTTGGGCTCGACCAACTGGACCCTGGCTGCAAGCGCTGCTGTCAGCTTGAGGTGGAAGAGTCTGCTCTGAAGGTCTGCCATCGCACCCCCCTTATGGGGCCATCCATTTAGTACGTACGCATGGAGGGGGGAAGGGGGGGGGTTAACCCAAAAACGTACATACGCATAGGAAACTTGGGGGTAGGGTGAAGTCTCGATAATAATTTGTCTACATTGGCCTTCAAATGAAGCCACAGTTCAGTTTATTCAGCTATCAGACAAGTACTACCGGGAGAAGTAGGACTGTGGGAGAGGTGTCACTTGTGTGCCACTGCCAGCTATCACGCAGCTCAGCAGTGAGTCTGACATAGTCTGGCGGCCTGTCCCATGGATTACACATCCTTCAATCTGGCCTCACTGCAGATTGCCACTGGGTCAAGATTTTAGCTGCCGCAGGCCAGTGTAAAACGACACCAGCGCATTCACACTACTGAGTCTTCTGACAGTGGGAACAATCAAAAGCTGGATGATGATGACGTCAGCGACGCTGTGGATATTGAGATGGCAACCCAGCAGACTGCAGCTGACGCTGCTGTGCTTCAGCCTGACATTGCGCGTGTTGATTAAATTCCTATAATACGTAACATGTTCGACTGGGTTCAGTCGGCGTTTGAACCTAGCGGACACTCGACAAACTTTTTAAAGGTACACAACTTAATTCTTTAATGCAGCCGGCAGTGGACTATCTGTTTGCTTAAACACGTTAATATTATGAATCCTTGATCGTTTCTGCATGGATTAAATATCGGCCGTTCTTTAGGATTCGGGTGGGGGGGTGGTCAAGCATACGTACGCAGGTGGGGGGGGTGGGTGGGTGTAAAAAGTATGCGTGCGTACAGGGAGGGGTCAAGTTTTGACAGATTTTTGCGTTCGTACTAAATGGATGGCCCCTATTCCTCAACACTGGGAGTGTTATTCCTGATAGTTTTAAAAACGAGATGTTAATTAAACTAACTATTATTTTTTTTTAGTTTCACCAGGTAAGGCCCACTGAGCTATACAATACTCTAAACGCATGTTTCTAAATGAGGAGGGAAAAAACAGGAGGACTCGCAGAAAAATCCACGCTGCCACTGGATGAACATGCAAACTCCAAATATACAGGCGTCAGGGTTGGGATTGAACCAATGTCTCCTACATACTAGGCGATGGAGATAACATCTCTCCAAATATATTGGGCCTGAGTACTGAATGGCTTACCCGATTCTTTAAATTGAGTAGGCCAAGATTTGTCCCATTTCCGATTCCCTATGGGATTTGCGCCGGGGGTGGGGGGCGGGGGGGATTGTGGAATTTCCATGAGAACTTAGGGAGGGTAGCGACCAACCTTGAGTCTTGCATAACTCGCATCCACACACAATCAACATGCGCACACACACACTATCACCAATACTAATGCGGAGACACACATGGTCACAAACATCCAGACACATGCACACATCCACACGCATACAAATACTCTCCCCAGACAGACACGTACTGTCATAATTAGACAAAGATCCCTTCGTATAGCCGTTTATTAGAAGGTTTTGAGCAACCTACTCAGAAAAACAAACACACAAACATGATCTCATACACATAAAGACATTCCTGCACAAAGTAACATACTCAAATAGTTGCATATGTAAGAGACAGGTGAAACCCTATTAATAACAGCCCTGTGAGTTGAAACAATGTGATCAACTCTCATTGGCAAACCATTAAGGGGGGGGGGGAGCCAACATAGAGTGCACAATCTGATTGGAAGATGCAACAGCGGCAGCTATGGTTAACGAGGATAGTTTTCCTGGCAGCTGATTGGCTGGTGGGAGCGGGACGAATGACGTAATCCACAGCAACCACTGACGCGCGTTCATCAACTGGCTAGGACGAGCCCCATGTGCTCCGGGTTTTGCACTACGCGTTTCAGAGCCTATGCAAATCGCTATCTGGTCGATTTTATGCAGTTTTCAGTTTTTCTGTACTCAAGCCCCTGACTGCTAATTACACACAATTCCTCATACATTATACTGCCTATGTGATGAGCCTATTTCATTGTGCAATACTTGCTTTAAACAATCTTGGGCTAATTTTAACTAACCCTTACACCACAGTACTTTTCTTAAATAATTTGTATGCTGTTTAATTCGAGAATGTATAAACTGCACAAATACCTTAAAATGTGTTGGATTATTATTTCCATGTTAATTATTAATTATGAAAAAAAGCATTAACAGTATACAGGCAAATTGTGGCAGTCTGTAAATCAGCTTAATGGCATTATATTAAGCTGGCTATGAAAATTAATCGTCACTTTGGCTGTATAGTTTTTTTATATTTCTTAATTATGTTTGTGCTCATTAGTCAGTGTCAACACATTACAGTAAAAAAAAATTTCAGAAGCTCCATATTATGGCTTATCTTGTCAACTGCCAATGGAGAGAATCAAATTCTCATGTGGCTTTCCCCAGCCTTGCCTGGTTGGTGCATCTGATAGTGTTAATGATGGTAGCCTCTGTAAAGCCATCCATACGTTTCCAAAGTCTACCACGCTGACAGTAAGGCATGTGTCAGCATTACGAAATTTGCTTGTTATACGAAGATTGTTGCTACCAAATTCCTACATCGAGTGTTGTAGGAATTTGCAGAGCCGTGCAGGCACAACTTACATAATACTCAACATCTTTGTCATTGACATAATGAAAAAATATGTCGTGGCTACTCTTTGGTTCTTTCGGTGAAGTCGCGTAGAAAGAAAATCAATTCAATACAGAGACACACAGAGAGAGACACACCACATGTGTCTATGTTGATGTCACGAAAGCTTCAAATCAAATTTAATATATAGTGGGCTAATGTTTTGGGAAATGGCTCTCATTCAGAGCAAAGATGCAGAAGGGCAAGCATTTCTATATATTGATTAAAATTCAGAAACTTTGAATTGACCATATGAGCATATTAACTTTCCCAGTTTTCTCAATTCCACAGTTTTCTCAAAAAGCCCACAGTCTAAAGGCTGAAGTCCAGCTATAGGTCAATGTTTATGCCCCCTCCGTGCTCTCAAAAAGGGTCGTTGCCTGAAATATCATTGTGCTATATATACGTATATATTTAACATTTAAAACCGTGCGAGTGATGCATGTGGCCAATTCATTTAAATTTTTTACCAACAGTAGATTCCTGTTCACTCTTTGAATGAATAAACAGCAAATAGTAATGTGGTGCTTTAATGAGCTAAGCCAACTCTCCCTTTCTCGTATGAGTGTAGCATATCCGATCATTTCAGTTCTGTCCTGCAGCAGGTTTTAACCTAGGGATATGAAAGAAATTGCATTTTTCGTGTTGTAAATAATAAAACATCTAATATTAACTTTATCACCAGTTCATTGCAGCCCAAAGCTCAGCTTGTGGCGTTCATGGAACTACAGAACAGTGAGACTTGTAATATTGATTGATTGTCAGGTTGAGGTGCACCTGAGCTTACAGAATGTACCTTTCTGCACTTATCAAGTGGGAGTTTTGCATCACATTGGCAATGTGGAAGAATTAACAGACCATTGCATAATTCAATGACTTAATTAATCATCATGTTTATGGCTGGGAGAAAAGAAACTACCGTTTAGAAATTACATTGATTGCCTTGAGAGCTGACGTGTCACTTTGCATATGTGTCTATGCAAGGTCATTGACATAATTTTTGCATAATATGCCAACGATCGAAATGCATACATTCCTTTTTGGATCCAGACACTAAAATAAGACTAAAAGCAGAAAAAATGAATCCGTAGCATAGCGTAGTAATGTTACATTTATTGAATATTTTTCATTTAATTTAGGTAATACTGCAATTATTCACAAAAACCGCAGATGTGGTCACCACGTATCACAACATGATACGTGTTTGGCAACAAGACGCACGTACACACACACACCATTACTTACTCTATATACTAAATCTGTGTTAGATGAATATAAACTGCTTGTACCTACAATGCCTCTTGCACTCCTCGCAGCAATCCTGATGAAAAATTTCATGGATGGTCAAGGATCACAATCTCGTATACAATTGATTTTTATGTCAAAAGGTTAACGGTCAGGTCAGAATGCGTCCAAAGCCTTTTAATCCTGTGTGCGCACGCCCACAGCAAAATATCTTTTGAGCTCAGAACATTCTGAAATTGTTAGGGACATTTAAGTGACTTGGACTGCTATTTGCATGAAATGTTGAAAGGTTAATATAGTGAAGCACCCAGCACTTGGTCAGGGGAGAAGTCACTTTGAGCATCAGTGCTGCATGCTAATTTGGTAAGTACAATGTTTAATATAAATTAATTATAGCAGGCTATTGCCCGTCTTCACGTCGCAAAAGAAAGGTAAAATGTTAATGTGCTAATGATAATACGGTAATATGCAAGAAAGCCATCGAAAATCACACTTGCCACATTCGCTCACAAGTGCAGCCACTCGTGGCACAGGTTTATTTATTTTAGCTGCTTTTTTATCGCCACTGATGCACAGTCAAAATTATACTTTGCAATAAAATAACCTGAAATTGTATTGCTCGTTCTTTTGGCATAAAGTCGAAGTGGGGAAAAATGTTGCTTATAGAACATTCAGTCACGTGAAGGCTTGTGACATTGAATTTACTTTAAAGTGGTTTCAGATGTATTTTGCTACTGATGGCAGGGTTAAGGGACCACACTTCTTGAATGGCCTGCACCATTAACAATCTTGGCAAAAAAAATGCTCTCTTAAAGTCAATGCTGTATTCCCATTTGGACAAAAGAGGGATAACACCTTCACAGACTAATGTTCCCAGCTACTCTAACGGGTTGTTTGCTTTGATAATGCTATTAATCAGGCATGTACCAGCCGGCAAAGTAGCCTATATGAGAGCAGTGGGGTTTCTTTAACCCAATGAATGCAATGCCTTTTCTAAAACAAATTTAATCTCAAGGTTATTCTTCCAGCAGCTGCAGTTAAAACTGTAAGATCTGAATGGACTGATTGAATATAATGCTTTTTCTTAAATAAACTGCACAGTGTTTATTGTTGCAATAATTTTATATTCACACTTACTAAAACTATATCTTAAACAAAAATGTTATTGCCAAAAAGCATTTTCCTGCTTAACCCTTTCAAGTTCTGATGATGTACGTGAATCAAAATGAAACCGGAATAAAAACTAAAATAAAATAACCTCATGAGTACCGAGGCTCCCCACAAGGCCATGCGGGAGGGCGAGTGGCACAACTATCATAGTGTGTGGTCATGTCGCTATAGTTCTCTGCGGTGAGAACATTGTCTTTACGAACAACGGCACTGTGCCTCTAAATAAAATTAACGCTGAGGCGCTTGCGCCTTCCGAGATTCGGAGGTCAACGGATCCCACCATGCAACTTGCAGACGTCTCAGAATGGGAAAGGGTTAAATGCCTTTGCTCTGTGCTGGTACTTGAATTTCCAACTTTCATAATGAATTCTTTTCAAGGCACAGATGTATTTTTTAACAATGGTATGAGTTGAAAATGAGCGTCGTTCCTTCATAACCACCCCTTGACAGGTGAGCAGTAATTTTGCCCCATACTGGTGGTGCAGCACTTCATTTATTTTACCGTCAGAAGTTTGAACAAGGGCGCGCTCAAAAGCCTGGAGAAATATAATATGTAAATGATTTGTCTAATTCAATAATTAACATCGTGTTTTGCTTTTAATGTGGAACAGCTTTATCCTGGAGCAGTTCTTGAAGTGTGTGGATGAAAACTGGGCCGGTTCCCACAAGTCCAGGGTGAGTCGTTGACTTTGTTAGTTTAATGTAAGCAGGAGCTTTCATGTTATGGAAAACAAAATAGAATTGTTGCATTGGAGGAATTCTTTTTTATGCAACAAAAGTCTTATGTGAATGTGCAATCAGATCTTCAATTGCACAATACCGAAAGGTTTCTATCTGATGCTCATATTTTGCATTTATCGTGCACATAAATTCTAGCCAGTTGTGCACGTGCGGTTTCTTTGGAATAATAAATGTAATAACGGGACAGTTGCCTCAGTGTTTCGTGGGCTCTTTATCTCCATTGCAGACTTGACATGGACAGTTGGTCAAGGCCGTTGTATCATCTTGCATTGTTCAGCTCCCAACTGTTAGTCTGGATTGTCATGACAGACGTGCTTTGGACTCTTAAGCTCTGCCCCTGCCATTCTTTGTTCTCTTAGGATTGGCTCTGACCTGCATGCAAAAGGAAATGTTTCAGGGGTTGAAACGAAAAAATTGGTTGAGATAAAAAAAAATGGAACCAGCCCAAATAATCAATCCTATGCATTTGAGAATCTATCTTAGGCAACTTCATTTTGTGTTTGACCTTAAAGTTAATAACCAGCACTTTTGAAATTCATCTCAGGGCTTAATTTACGTATCTTATTTATTTCTCCCATGACGTGTTAAAGATCATGCATGAACATGACTGGCAATTTTTCATCAGGTGGTGCATGTCACACAAGATGTTAAAGAAATGCATATGCTTAGAAAGTCATAGGTGACAGCATGTTTCAACTTAACTTTGGAAACATTTAAAAAATCTGTACGTGAAACTGTTGCACTTTACAAATATAAGTGCCAAAAATTGGCAGTGTTAATTGTATGGTTTTGCGCTAATGCATACACTCACAAGATATGCACACACTGAAAAGAAATGGCTCCAGAAGCCACCGTCTGTCATCCATTTACTCTTTAACAGGAGGTAATACATGGTAAAGAAGTTGCCTTTTTGTAGCGAAACGCCAGAATCTGGAATGATAATCATTTACAGTGATTTATCCGTTGGCTGCTGGATTCAGCCCTTCCCATGCCGTGTTAGGTGATGAGGGTAGTCCGACCATACTTTGCTAAGCTGGTCAGTGCACGTTGTTGAACGGGGAGCCCAGGAACGGTTCAGATATTGCCTGCCACTGATGTTAGCCATGATTCGGGTCGCCTGGTTTAATATCTTAGTTTGCTGACCACTGTACTGCTGTGCTCACCCCAAAATGCATTATCTGGGGGTAGAAACTAATTACAATATCTGTGAGTTAAAGATTCCTTCCAGCACGACACTAAGCAATTAAGAGTGCTGTACTGATGAGCATGATCGGTCCATCATGATTATTTGCAGTTCATTGGAGCTGACTGGCACATGCATTCCCACATTGATCCCAGGAGTCACATGCATCGGTAGCTTCTCCGCAGGGCCAATAAAAACCCGCGACAGCACTCGTTTTGTACCATACAAAGGATTCTTAAATTCATAACTTTCTTTATTGTGTTTTTTATTTGACAAGAGGCCCGGTAAAAGGCTCGAACCGTAATAAGGGAGTGGGGGGGGGTACAGAAATTTTGCGGACCTGAATCACTAACTCGGGTGTTCCCTGGGGTCTGGGGGAGGGGAGAAGATTGGACTCACTGCCCCGCTCACGTAGGAACTGCGAGCAGTGGGAACTTAGGGTGTTTATATGGGGAAGGGAAGGCAAGGGAAGATGAACAAAAGTACAGTCAAACTTTGGATTGCGAGTAACTTGGTCTGCGAGTGTTTTGCAAGACGAGCAAAACATTTGAATACATTTTTATTTGGTAAACGAGCGAGATCTTGCAATACGAGTAGTACGTATACGCTTTGTCTGCCGAGCGTCACGTGATCACAACTGATATACGAGTGCTTTCATATGCGAGTGCTTTGGATTACAAGCACGTTTCCGGAATGAATTATGCTCGCAATCCAAAGTTTTACTGTAAAGGGAAAAAGGGGGTGGGGGAGGATGGGGTTAAATTCATACCTTTATATACTGAGCAACAAAGTATTCTAAAATAAAAAAAATTCTTACATTAAACAGTAGTCATCACGTGTTAATAAATATTTTTCGTTTGGCCAAATTGTTAAGTTTAATTTTGTAAGAAATGGAAAATACACCTTTGTATTATATTTGAAGCCAAGTTGTGAACACTATTTGCTCACAACACATCGGTGCAATTTTACTAATGCTAATTTGTTTTCTTGGTGAACATCACAGCATACACCATACGCGGTACATGTCGAGTGAAATATATATTGCCCACGTTTCTTTCCATTTCTGATGTGGATGTTAAATGTGAAGGAAAATGGGCAAATAACGGTACCATTAACATTCCATTTCCGACAGTGCAGCCCTGTCTCGCTTTCTTTGCAATAGAGATGCATATTCATCAATATGAAATATTTGAACTTAACGGATTGCTTTTGAGTTCTTAATTTTTTTTTTAGTAATATACATTCTTACGTGATGCAATACAAAGCGGAACAACATATCCATCTTTGTGTGTACTCGCCCTGTAAAGTGATGACAAAAACAACCTCCCTTTGATTGTTTTATTATCACTCCCTGCATCTGTGTTACACGGCACATTAACCCATACAAAACGGACCAAGTTCTACAGGCTAGCCACTGCTAAATTATTAACGCGTGCAAACTGTAAGATAACCCAAGGGGTTATTTTTTGGTTATGCTGTAGATTGATCGATATTGTAACCCTCTCGTCACTTTGGGGAAGATGTGGTGGGGGATTTTGGAGAGAAGTCTATGGATGCAAGAATGTTAAGCCGGAAGTCTCGTGTGAGAAAGAATTCCACCAAGCACGCTCATGGAGAGAGAGGAGCCATTGTATGGCTGTGGTCACAGCAACATTAACAACCCACTGTGAATCATGGCTCGCACCTCCTTCCTTCCTCATTCACAGAATGAATTCACTCGTAAATTGCCGTACCCCACCACGACTGTTGCGAAAAGATTTTCGATTTTAAAATTACCATCAGTCCTGCTTGTTTCACACAGACAGAATCAGAATATTTATACTGAAAGAATCTGATGAGCTATTACGGCGCTCTTTCACAGATGTCGAGACACATCGCAACATTCTCTATATTGGCTTCTGGGAGTTGTTTGACGCTCATCTGCTTTATGGCAGAGTCCAACAACTTAACTAAAAATTGGTTTTATTTTAATAGCTTGGTAATCGAGTGTAGAAAAATGAATGCATCTCCAATGAAAGGTAGCCCTAAAAACATTACCACATTTCAGGTGTTAACTTTCACATTGCTCTCTTATTCCGAATGTAATACGTTTTTATCTCTTTATGTTTTGCATGTGAAAATGTAAACACAACTTCTCTCCCTTCAAATAAAGTAATCCATCATTCGTCCGTATTTTGTAATGCATTAAAATATAATTCTCGTTGATTTTGTAATGTAATGAAATTGATCAGCTGGTAAGTATTTTTACAAGATTTCGAATAGGATGGCTTGGTCAGCCTTGTTGATAAAAAATTACTATAAAACAATTGGCAAGAAAAAATTTCCATTTGCTCCACGAATCGTTGAATTCTGGATGGTACCTCTAATGTGTCTCAGGCACTGGGCACTGGAGTATATGGGAAAAATCTGCTGCTATAAGTAAACCTGATGGATCAACTACACCTGTGTTCATTTAATTTATTGTAAGCTATAAAGGTTAATGTTACACAGTGCTGTCCTATCTACTTTTTAAAAACAAGAGATTAGTTAACAGGCATCTTCATATAATTTTCCCCCAAACATTCATCGAAATTACAAAAAAACATTCTCAAAAAACGGACAAAGTAATTAGCAAGCTTGAATGTTTCTATTAAATGCAAGTCCAACTTCCAAACACCCAACATCAACGACATTTAAAAGTGTCAATGTTGTTTTGTCGTGGAATATATGTAATACTTTGCTGTTGACGTTAATGCCGGAAGACAATGCAGAGTAGTTGCTCAAGAGACGGTGTGCTGTCGGCCGTGATTAAGACTGCTCGCCCTCCTGGCTCTATCTTTGCCCGCTCGGTGCTGGGGGTTTTAATCTATCTGCGTCCTCTAAACTTGTGCCATGCATCTTCACAATTTTGTCCGTCCCTGCGCGCGCGATGAATGGGGCGGCAGTGTGATTGAGTGTGGGTGACGTCACTTCGTGCGGAGCCGCGCTTCACAGGGGTCATGCGGTGGATGGGAAGAGATGTGCTTACTCAAATGCACCCATTTGGGATTTTTTTTTGGTATAAAAACTTTGCCATGTGGCAAGCTAATTTATATTTCTTTAGAACTGCTTTTTGTGTTTATTTTGTTGTTCTTCTCCCACACCTCCGATTAGCACGTTTGGCTGCGTACAGTGCGAAAGAAGTTCAAAATACATATTGTTGTCGGCCTATAACTTTCCAAAGCTGTGTGAAGGCCTCCTTCAATATTCTTCCATCTCTTTCCTGAGTTGCACCTGTCCAGTCATGGACTCCGAACTCTTTGATTTTGTCTCGCTGCTGCCATCTCTTCCGCTGTCTTCCTCCGCTTACTTTTTTTGCCTTTTCTCCACAATGGTGTTCATTCTGAGCATCTCTCTTCGGTGGTTCTCAGGACATTGTTGAGATACAGCTTTGAAGCCAATTTAAAAAAAATACACGTGAACATATATGTTAAACGTCGCTTCTGTCTGCCAAATGTAGTTCAGCATAGTTGTTTGAATTGCGTTACTCCTTAAAGTGCAAAAGCCGTAATAGCTTATACTCTTTGGTTCTTTCGGTAAAGTCACGTAGGTATAAAATAAAATAAATCACGGCGTTTCGGGCGCAACACAAAGCGTCCGTCATCAGGTGGGAAAGCGATGGGCCTGCTGCTGAGGCGCAGACTGTTTTAAATGGTGCATACATTGTCGTGACATTGTCGTCAGCCTAGAGCCTAGAACTTTCCAAAGCTGTGTGAAGGCCTCCCTCATATTCTTCCATCTCTAATAGCTTGCTTTTTTATAGTTTCAATTCCCTCGGCTTTTCTAACATTTACTTTACCAGCTCAGACAGCTGCCTTTTTTTAATGGAAGTTAAAGTAGTCTCGTTAAGGCATTGCTTAAAATAGATAAATAAAAGGTGACAATTAATTTTTAAAAGTTTTGTATGAATGCCACTCATTAAAAAGTGACGTGTGTGTGTTTATTGGCAGCATTTGTGCGGAGCAACAAGCCCAGCACGTTTAAAGGTCTAACGATCAAGGTGAGGCTCCAAGGTCTTGCGCATCTGTAATTTAATTTGCAGAAGCTTACTATTGAAATGTAACGCATGCTTGAAGACTACAGACAGATACATCCTTGCTCCATCAACATGAGGCCTGTGCTGCGTTCATATTAAGATCTTGAGTTGTTAAATGTCACCACAGTCAACGTGTAATATTGATTTGGCCAATAATGCTTGCACATGCGACAACAATGTTATCCACATGTGCTTACGTGTCTGTGTGTCCGTGCACGTGTTGGGTAGTGTTCGTGTAGTCGTTATCGCACTGCCCGATGAACCCAACGACCCGAGTTCGGTTCCTGCTCACAGCCAATGTCAGTTTGACAATATCTCAACCGGTCCTGGGTCCCCCCCCCTGGCTTTAAAATTACTACCTGGTGTGGTGTGTAAGCAATCACCATGGAGGGGGGGAGACAAAGGTGATTGGCAGAGTGAGAGCCACACCACTATGTGTTGACTTTCATAGGTGCTCGTTAACAGCACTTCCCCGAATAGTCTGCTAAGCCTCTACGCCGGATCTTTGTCTTTGGTGCAGTACGTGCGCGGTTCGGACCCCGTGCTGAAGCTGCTGGACGAGAGTGGGAACGTGGCCGAAGAGTTGAGCATCACCAAGTGGAACACGGACAGCGTGGAGGAGTTTTTGTCCGAAAAACTGGAGCGCTTGTAACACCGCTGTGCATCGAACACATCCATCTACCCTTGTGTCTTAGCCCAACATCACGCGTGACCTTTATCCATAACGTGATTCACCGTGTCCCTTACAGTGACATACTGCGACCGGGACCGACACTAATATGCCCTTAGCGTGACTGAGAACGCACGTTTGACCTTTGCCTGTAACCGAAACATGACCTTCATTCTCAAGCTTAACCATAGCCAAGCTTTCTTTGTCTGTTAACCACCGGTTATTGTCCCCACCCCCTTACATTTCGTTATTTAAGCCACAGCACGTTTTGGTAGTCATTCGTGCAATTTACAATGTAGATTTCACTTGGATAACTGTTGAATAATTATTTCGTGTTCCAATTCCATGCTCCATGTTAAGCGTTTGAAAGCAGTTACTGTATTCTTAGCTCTTTCGGTAAAGTCACGTATTTGAGGAACGTATTTTGTAGTTTATGGTTTAAAAAAATCTCATTCCATAACTTGTATCTCATTTTTTGTTGTTGAAATAGAGGGGTAAAATAGATGTGTTTATTGGGAGTTGTTTTTTTATTGCAAAGTATACCAAAAAGTGAAAAATGATGATGGTACGTGGATGGTGATGTGGTTGGCAGGTTAATGACATCGCCGCCACTGGGATGTCACTGCATGGGTGGCCTTGTATGAAGGCTGTGCATTAAAACCTGCCATGGTCTGGTGCAGCCTGAGAGTTGTGGTCACCCAAGCCTGACCCGGTAGTCACATCGCTACGCCCCGGCTCTCTCACACACTTCTATCAAAAAAATAAAATTTGCAATTCAGTTTTGTGTTGACTTTTAAGTGTTTATTTTCGAATTTTATTGGTTGTAGTTAGCAGCCTCCACAAGCTGTATGTGTGACATTTTGCATTTAGACATCCTGTTATTTAATCGCAAATGTGCTTTTAGACAAATGCAGAACAGTAAAAAAAGGATTGGTCAGAAAAGGGTTTTTTTATACATAAAATGATCACTGCCTATTTCAGCAAAGGCATGAGGAACATTTAATAACGCTCAATATGTTGGAAGTTGCATTGATCTCATACTCTTTGAAACATCAAAACTATCAACATTTTGTAGGACTGGGTGAACATCTATATTGGCCCATTTTTGATGTATCACCTTCATGTTTCAATCATTGCGACTCGTCACACGAGCACTCGTACGACTTGCTCTTGATGTATCCTCAAACCTAACTGCGGTGCCATTCTGAGTACTGCACATGCAGAGAACCGATCTCTTGTCATTGGTGGCAAATACAGGCAATAGATGCACCAGTAGCTTCCCCCAACAAGCCAAATGCGCTCTCACAGTGGGAATACATTTCAAAGAGAGATTTTTTCTCCAGTGCTAAAGGCACTGCTGACACTCTGAGATTGCCTATGCCCTTTTCGCCATCAAAATACTTTTAAAACCATTTTAAGCCAGAAAACTTGTAGATGGCGATAACGGCTGTTGTGTGCCTCAGCAGTCATGGGTGCATGGACGATGGTGGTGAATGTTAAACAGGATTTGTATATTTAAGTTTCATTGGTTGATCATTATGGACATGCCATTGTGTGTTTTGGTGTAATGTAACTGGTAGCTGAAAATGGAAATTGTCCAAAAAAATTACAAACCCAAAGAACATCACCCATCACATTAAATGTTAACTAGAGCATTAACAGTGCTCTTGGTAACAAGCTTTAAACCCGTCCTCGGATACTGCAGGAACACCATCGCTAGGCCTTAAGTCCATTTCAGACTCCGAGCCAAATATGCAGTAGATGACTGCTTGCTCTGAATTCATCCAGAGGCCTGGCTGCACATTGCATGCTAGAAGACATCAAGGCTGATATGAGCAGAAGTCTCTGTAGGTAATGCATTTTTGCCTTGGTACACGTGCAGTCCATTGCGCGCGTGTGTTTCCGCATGTGCCATCAAGCGGAGGGCAAATGTAAACGGGCTCCATATTGAAGATGGTTGCAGTGCAAAAGGGAGCCCATTACTGCCACACAGCTCATGCGAATAGAGCGACCCTTTTGGCTTCAATCCTTTTACATTATTCTGTAATCAATGCCACCGCATGACTTCACTTCAGCGGGGTTCTGTCATTGGACAGTGCCCAAAGCCACAGGCTTATAAGACTTATTTTTTTGGATGTCGTGTTTGGAATTTCAATGCATTTCCCATGGTTGCTGGAGTCCATACATCGCGAACGTGTCCATTGTATCAATTTGAATTAACTTAAAATGTGTTACTTAAGTTGAGAAAACGGTGAATGGCTGTACATTTGGTTTAACACGTAAAGACTTTTGCGACCAATATCCGTAATAGAGGTTTTTGGGTTAGATCGCGTAAATATGAATGTGTCGTTAAACCTGCCACCACCCGACACAGCCAATTGGTAAGGTTTGTCACGTTAACAAAACATGCAAATTCGTTATCAGTGTTGTTCTAGAATTGTAAATGTTGTGGGCTTACTCTCCAACACGCCGGTGTGCTGAACTGGGAACGCATTGGCATGTTTTGTTTAGCTGGCACGTTACTAATTGGCTCTGTCGGGTGGTGGCGGTTTTAACCACATATATACACAATCTAACCCAACAATCTATATTATGGCCGAAAATTATATTAACGATAAAATAGGTTTCAATGGTTGTAAATAATTTACCTGATTTTAAAGTAAAAATTTAATCTGATTACAGAAGTCTGTGTCCGATCTAATGCCACTAGCTCATATCGGAAGACTCATGAGCAGCAGTGGTTGTAATCACGAGACACTGTAAATATTTACGGTGGTATAACAGAGTTTTAAACATACGTAATCAAGGGGTTAACGTGCTCACCACTGGTAGCTTGCTGGAGTTCAGAGGTTCAAATCGTACCACTGTGAGGCGTTACCAAAGTGCAGGCTGCTATAAAAAGGTCAACATTAAAGACCCTGTAATATGATTGTCAACAGTGGGATTCTGGGTGACACTGTCATGACCCAAAATCTGATTTATGGAGAATCGTTCCCACCAAATTACAATAACATTCCTATCGCACAGTCCCCTGTGTACTCACCAGGCTGTTCTTCCCAGAGATAAAGAGACTTCCTCACCTGACTCGTGGATCAATTGATTTAATTACGTGGGGGGGGGGGGGGGGGGGCAACCGAATGGAGATGAGTCGCTCATTTACAAGGAGGTTGGATGTGCAGGGTAAGAGGTTCGTAAACTCGACGCTCGTTCCTTTAACCCCAATTTCTCTTTCCATGTTTCCTGACGCACACCAGAAACAATTTATAGCAGGCTGTGTATGCAATCAAAAGGAGCGGGGGGGGGGGGGGTAAAGGAGTGGAATTCTAATGTTTTATTGTGTTAGACTATAAAACAAGAACAGTGTTTGTGTGTGTGTGTTTTTTTAAAGGCTCTATTGTTCACATTTATTCATGCAGGCTTATTTGTGCGTCTGGTCTTCAAGTGAACATTCATTAATACGATGGCACAAACAGGACAACAGCAGTTTAACACGCAGGAGGCTTTCGCGACCAATATCATCCACAATATAGTGGGTTTTTTTTTTGGGGGGGGGGGGGGGAGGTGGTGTTAGATCGCATACATATAAATGTGTCGTTAAGCCCGCCACCACCCGACGCAGCAGCGTGTTCCGAAAGCACAATCCGCCTCGCGTGGAGCAGCGCGCATCGTCCACACCTCCGATTTAGCTTGGTTTGCTACGTACGGTGCGAAAGAAGTTCAACATAGTACGTACAGCCCGGCTAGTGTGCCTACGGAGTCGTTGCAAGACGCTGCACGAGTTTCCCTGTAATAGCACAGCGCAACCAATGTATTTGCTCTCCGATGTTGCTTATCCGGGTTTGTACCGCGCGTTGTTTTGGCACAATGCCTCCTGATATTTCGCCCTTACTGCCGGGAGCTTCTTCGTAATAAAAAAACGCCGAAGCTTCGAGGAATTGAATCTCCCAGCACGTGGAGCGAAGAAATTACGTCGAACAACACGCGCGGGTACAATCCGACATAAAAACAACCACGTGCGATAGCTGTACAACAACAACAATCGCATCAACAACAGCAACAACAACCACCACAAAAATCCCCAAGCAGTATACGTTTATTCCCATCGACTGGATGGAATTGGTAACGCTTTGGTTTTCCCCTCCCGCAGAATCCCGCTGATCGGCTTTGTCACACGCCGGCGATCCGTCCATCGACCGGCCCAGGCGCTATCCTCTACCGCACTCCTCCGTCCTCATCTCTTTCACTCGCTCGGTGACATTTTTAAGAGAGACGTGGGTTCCTTGCCGAACGCGCAAAAAATTCACAGCTTTTTTTTTTGTTGCGAGCCCCAAACAAAGTGACGGCGGTGGCGTCGCCAGCGTTTGCTCTTCAAATTGCACGGTCCTCTCGGGGAAGATTCCACCTCCCGCTAGTTCCAGGATTATTGTATCCGGCGTTTGTCGACACAATGCGCCTTGACATCGAGATGTCGAAGGCCGATGTTTTGATCTCTTGAAGTGCGGTGCACATGATGAAAGGGGAAGCGGGGGAGGATTTAAATTAGGTCAAGTCAATTAAACGTTAAGCGATTGAATACTCGTCGGTGTCATTTTCAATTTACGCTTGCATTAAAAAAAAAGATAAATACGGATCAGAAGATGATGTGTTTAGCTTGTGCTTATGTATGATAGTTAAGACGTTCTACTGAAATGCGATCTAACCCAAAAAACGTTTATTATGAATAATATTGGTCGCGAAAAGCCTACGTGTTAAACTGAGTAAGGCTTCCCGTCGTCAGTAATTCAGGGAAAACATAACCCATCCAGATTTTTACAAAGGCAGATTTTTTTTTTAATGTGAGGGATGCTACCGTGGCGTAACGGTTCGCACACTGGAATTGCGGAGGTCGCAGGTTCGCATTGGACCTCCTGGCGCGGCATTTGGAACAATGAGACATTTTCTTAAAATCCCCCGCAGCTTCTGTCCACTCAGTGATAAATATATAAGTAAGTACACCGAGTGGAGACAATCAGCAGGTCGCGTGTGCTGGGGTGAAGCGTGGGTTACTCCCACGTTTCGCAAGACATCTAGCCAGCCCAGAAGAGTAGGCCAAATACGGAGGGGCTCTCTTTAGCTGAGGCCATAGAGCCACCAGTGTGACTAACAAGCAATTGCAGGGCTGCACCGTTTACCTCAATACAAACTCATGCCATAAAACATATTTGAAACCATAATCATAAGGAGCTTCCCTTTCATGAACAATTTAAACACAAACACAAGCCACCCATATTCTTTGGTTCTTTCGGTAAAGTCACGTAGATAGATAGAGAAATAATAATAAAAAATAAAGTGAATAAAAAAATCATACAAATAAATGCATCAAATAATAAAAGGTACTTTTTTTTTGTTTAATCGTGGATCCAAGCGACACTTAAGCGACGCTGGTTCACTCGGGGTCACGGTGGCGTTCTCCGCTCTCCTAAGGAGGTCACTCTCCTGCATGCACAGCGTTGGCTGGGCCACAATTCTCTCTCTCTCTCTCGGGAGATAATTCGGCTTTTGCCTTGTGGGAGAAATTGCCGCTCTCCAGCGCGATGGCAACGGGTGTGCCCGCACATTTGGGGAACAAGAAATCATTCCCAGCAGATTTATAGAAGCTTAGCAGGTATTATAAAATTCCTTTTGAAAGGGTTCGCAGTTAATAATTAATACATAGATTGCATTTTGGCAAAAAAAAAATACTTAGAATACAGTCGTTGCTTATGGCGATTTTAAAGCATCCAAATTGGCAAATTATGGTTGTGGCTTAAATGCTGTCGACAATATTTGGATGGAATTCGCAATTGGCTCCAATGTGTTAAACTCCCTTAAGGAATTTTGTGTGGTGGAACAGCTATAAAGTGACCTCTAAAAACCCATGGCGACTGATTATAATTATTATTACCGTGAGGATAAGAGACATTATTACTGCCAGTTCAAGGTGATGCTGATGCGAAAGATTCATGGATCTCGTTTTGTCTTCTCTCTTCCGGTCTGCTCAAGGCCGCCTGAAGCTTTGTTGTAAGCTGCACTTCTGCGCTAAAACTACACCTGATTATATTCTGCCTTTTCCCGGTTATTACCGGTGCAGTGAGTGAAAAGCCGCTGCGTCCGCGTATTAAATGCACGCCGTGTTTCCAAATGAAAAGGATGACTACAGTGTGAGAACACTGGCCCAGGCGCACGCTAAAATTAAGCTGTACAGTACTTTATTGTCCGTCTCCATAAATCATTTTACGTTAAGAAAAAATACGTTTTAAAAACACACATTCCCCACGAGCCGTCGAATATTTCGTGCAATCCTTAAATACCAATTTACAACATTTACCACAGTTTTAATAAGTGATTAAAAAAGTGACATTACTGACTCTGTACTTGTAGCATGATGATTTGCATGAATGGTTTTTCGATTAAAAAAAAATATATATTTCTTGTTAGCCACACGCTCGTTATCCTAATTATCAGCGTTGTAGATGCAATTTCATAGGCACGATATTAATTTCCAAAGTGACTCTGGGTACGCGCAAGGACACGCGTTCCGACAACGTAACTTGCGTAAATCGATAGAATGCTGCGTAATCAGCGGTGGTTACGATAGGTAGACGGGGTGCTTGTGCCCAAGGCGCCGAAGTTGATTGTGCAAACCACCACTGGCGGTGGTCAATACAAAGACAGTATGTTGGGTGCAAGTGCTGTTCGTGAGCAGCACATGTGAAGGCAGACACGGCACACGAGGGTAGTGGGATTGCACAGCACCAATACAGCCTCCCCCCACACACGTGGCGAGGTTCTGCTGAGTTGTAGTACGAGGGAAAACAGTGCCACCTTTATAACCAACCGGGACTTGAAATTCAGTTTCAATAGAATACAAAATTCGTCTTCAGACCACTTTTCTAGATTGAACAAGTGTTGCGTTGTACATTCAGTCGTATGACCGGGATCTCTCATGAGTTCTGCAAGGTTCGGGCGGAAATCGGATTCTGCAACACTGTGTGGATGATACGATCGAACAGGGTTCCATTTCCATACATCACTGACGCGAATTTTTGTTGTTGGGTTCCAACTCTATCCTGTGACAGTGTTTATGATATGAAACGTCAAATCATCTGCCATTCCTCGGAAAGTCATTCCTCGGTGTGCAGTACACTTCAAGTACTGTCAAGCACCACGTTTGTAACTGCTATTACGTGCTAACCAGGGGGTTTCCACGTGTCCTGATTTTCCCAGGATCGTTATTCCTTTGAGGTGGCTGTCCTGTGAAATGTGTAAGCCTTCGTGAAAGATAAAATCCCACGTCTTTTTTTGTCAGCTGCATAATAAGCCAATCCATGTAAATGTACTTCTCCCTTCGTCTGTTATCGTGAGATATTAATTTTTTCCACGCTATGCTCCTTAATCCTTAGACCTTAGAGGTGGCAATCCTATGCGTTGCACACAGCAGGACATTTTTGTATCAGATACCTTGGTTTTACCATTGCCTGCGATGGTGCCACAAACTCCTTCTGCTATGCTTATGCAGTGGCTGTGTACTGGGTCTCCTGTAGTTATTTTTTTTTAGGCCACCGTATGTCTGGATTGCCCAAGGCTGATGAAACGGCTTTGTACGTAACTGGGTCATAACACAGCTTTTCGTCCTATTTACACACTCTTCCCCAGTTTTACATTAAAGTTTAACTTTAAACAATGACCAACACGGCAGTAAGCATGGTTATATATATACATGTGTGGTTAAGTGACAGTGCATTATATAAGATGTATGAAGGTATATTTGGATGAAGCCCACTCCACACTCTGCTTCTCGTCAGGGTTGTTTGACCATAACTTGGCTACGCCCGTTGATTCCGGGCCACGGCTGAACATCAATGGCGAGTGATATCTGAACCGGTCCTGGGCCCGATCCTCTTCACCAACTCGCACTGACCAGTGTGGTGAAGTATGGCTAACACCCCCCACTCCACCCCCCTCCACACAGTGTGGTGACACCATCCCCAAGCGGATTGCAAAGGGCTATAGATTATAGATTGGTACAAACAAATGTCACAGTCGCTTTTCAAAATTGAGGCTCTCTTCGCTTGCGGTTAATCTCCAGTCTTCGCAATCTGCAAAGAGAGCAACAAGGCAGTTCCAGCTTTGAATTTATAAAGCTTTTAACTGGCGATAGAAAACAGTTGTTGAATTCAATGTGGCGGCATTATGCCCTCTGCAGATACACGTATTGGGTTGTATACAAAGCGATGTATATAGACGTACACGTATGCTATCTCGGCTTGATTTACTGTGATATAAACAATGCTATAAACAACAGGGGCTGGTTCCATGGCTGCTGCCAACATTTGTACAAAAGCGGATCCAGCACAGACTATTTGAACGTTTGGAGCTATCGTCAGCAGCCATTGTCCATCCACTGCTGGACGTAGGCCTCCCACAACACCATCGACATCGCTCGCGGTCCGGTGATGGCCGCAATCCATCGTGCTCCTGCACGTGGAATGATCGCATCGACCTATCTCCATGCTGGTCATCCTCTCGATGGGAGACCAAACTCTGAGGCATTTCCGGCCTATCAGCCTCATATCTTGTGCCCGTTAATTCTTCATTAAACCTTCCAAAAAAAAACGCCACGCGTCCTTTCCACTTAAACAATCGTGCGCACAGATGCCACCCCTCGTCAAGGCCAGGAACGCTGACATTTTAGCCCCACGCGAAACAGATTTGTGACGAGACCAATTCAAGAATCGCCCTGCTACACAAATTTGCAGGAACGGACCTGGGGGCGCCTCAGCTGATGCGCTGCGAACCGCCGCCCTCTCACCGATGATCTGCTCAGTGGCAGAGTCACTGCGCTGCAGCCTGGTCCGGGGCCACGAACTTTTGGTTAGCCACTGAACAAAGACGGTGGTCACTGCATTGCACGCTTTCGGATGCGCTTCTGCGGCCGTCTGGAACGCTCTTCCGTCCGACATTAGGAAGCCACTGGAGCTACGCACTTGTAAATCTAAATTGAAAACTAATTTATTTAGAAGTGATTTTTTTATGTTCAGCTTGTTGTCCTTCCCCCACACCTCCGATTAGCACGGTTGTCTACGTGCGGTGCGAAAGAGGTTCAACACACATACGTACGAAACTGCTAGATGCACAATTTGCAGAATGTGCATCACAACCGGAACACAAAAAAACCCGCCACCGATCCCCCGGCACCCTGTTTTGGCGAACATTCTGCCACCAAATATCCACAAGGACATTCTTAAATCACCCGCAATCCTCCACACCGGGGGTATAGTGCATGCTGTGTAACGTTGCCGTAACGAGCACGGTTACAGGTTTCCACGATGTGGGTTGGGTGCTCTTGCCAAGAGGATAGGGCGGATAATGCTGACAGGGCTCACAATGATGATGAGACTCCTCAGTAAGTTGAAACCAATAGCAGAGTTTGACAACTAACGCACAATGCTGGTAGGTTGATGGACTAAACGCGTTCTGTGTGTGGTAACGTCTACGCTTGTCTGTTGCGTTATTACTCGGCATTTATCAGGAAATTGCAAACTATGCTGAACAAAACCTGGATTTTGTATTTCTGGCTCACAGTGTCTGGATAAGCACCATTAAAATAAAATAAAAACTCTGCACGTGCATTAAAAACCAGAAAAGGAAACATTTAGTAGGCAACGTTTGAGGCAATTGCCCTGTGCTTCATGGCACGTCTTCTTTTTAAGGCCACAGTGTTATTGAGGAATGTGTTGTGCTGTTCCGTGGTTGTTGTTGTTGTTATTTGTGGTTGTGCACTACTGCCAATGCCGCATCATTACCATACATTGTGTTTAACAATTCATGCCAGTTTGTTTGGTTCTTAGATTGCGTGAACATGGATGTTGTGTGCGCACGCATTGGAAATGTCTTGCTGCTGTAACAGCGCGCAAAGCAAGGACACCCGCATTATTATTTAACTTGGGGGGGGACTCAGTGAATTTAACCGTGCCGGGCGTCGGATGGCAGAGGAGAGAGAGAGAAACAGGGCATGGGTGCCCATTCATTGTGCTAATCAGGATCGTTTCAGGATGATAAAACCTCCACACAAACAACGTAAATCCACCCACGACCAATACGAGCGCCGCTGCTCTACATCAACACAGATAAGTTGACGTCCAATATAATTTAATTTCCACGGTGTAGCCTAATTAAGAATTATGTTTTTTTCGGGGCGGGGAGGGGTTGAAATTATATTTTGGTAACATTACGCCGTAATTAATATTCCACGGATGGAGTACACATCGCCACAAACGTATATTAACTATATACCGCATATTGCTGCATATACTTGCCGGAAAAACACTCGCTTTGCCACGAACTGTACGCAGAATTTTTTTGTATTGTTATTAACACTTATCACCGATTCACAAAATCGTTGCTGCAGGTCTTGCAATTCCAGGGATTTATCTCGAGCACTTGGTTTGTTCGCAGTGGGCAAGTGGCCTCAGAGTCGTATCGCAGAATCAACGGGGCGGTGTGTGGCAAGAGACGACTTGATCATGATCTCGACTTACCCAGGGACCAGCCAGTGTTGGAGGAGCAGAGACAATGCTCTTCTGGAGAAAGTGCAGTCAAGTGATCCTCTTTCATCTCCGCGCAACTCCCACCACACTGAATTAAACACTCAGTAATCACCGATGGCTCGAGGGCACATTTTGACACCGGCATTGTTCAGAACCAGAATCTGTTTTTATACTGGAGGAATCCGATGAGCTCTGGAGCCCCTTTTCACAAATTAGTGTGCGTGGCACCCCTGGCAAAGGTGAACTGTTTGAAACGAGGGCCCCTCAACTCTCCCGGCGTTCATTTTATTCTTTGTAGCCAGTGATTGCACAGCTCTGCCGGTGGTTATGATCATTTATAATACGTTGTTCAAATGATGCTGCTTGGTCAGGGCAGGAAACGTGATTTCAGTGGGAGGTCTTCATCCAGCGCGTGCTCTTGTCTCGCGGTGCTGATTGATGCCGCGCTCGCAGCCAGGGGTGTAATCACAATAGTAATTTTCATGCTACTTTGTGCCTTGCGGATTGATACTTCTTGCTCAATGATGTTGATCGTACAGTCGAGCTGAGTTTATTAGCGGAGTCACGAGGCAGATTCAGGTCGGCGTGCCCCAATGGAAGGTCGCCAACGCAATGGATGCGTCAATGCCACGCACACGCTGCGTGGCGCCTTCTTTGCCTCCTCTTTTATTCCAGAAACACAATTGGCAATTCGCCTCGCTCGTTCGACGCCGGTAAGGCTTAGCAACTGAAACCCGTTACTGCGGTGTCTTCTTAACACCGGAGGAACGCTTCACGAGGTGAATGACTCCGGTACTCTGTGATGATGGTATACCATGAGCAATGCAGACTGGTGCGGCGTGATGCCCACCTGACATGCAAACAAAGGGGACTGATTGATTCATCCTTTTTCCAAGAGCAGGAGTTGGTGAGCTCTGCTCAGCGCTCAGTGCACTGTTGCTGGGGTCGGTAAGACTGAATCACTCCATTCAGTGGTTTGAAACGAATGCGTAAGATCTGGACCTAATACAGATCTTTAAAGTAGCTCGACGTGCCTGTGGGTTTCTGAGCGTGTTCGTGGGTCTCTGAGCGTGTCTGTGGGTCTCTCTGTTCGCCCAGGGGGTCTATCTGTGAGAAGAAAACATATGCATACTTGATTCCTTCCGGAACGTAGCCAGGTTAAAATTTTCGCTTCCATCACGGCGTTCCGGGGCGTTCCAGCCCATTTCCACCACATTCAGATATCATATTTTTGGTGAATGCCAAACAGCAGTGGTGAAACGTGGTTGGCGTGGGTCCTGGTGCAAGGCATTAATGGGCCTTACCCTGTACACAATTCTCTCCTCTTCGTAGCCAGGCTCAAGTGGTCCTTCCGACCAGTGGGCCCCGGTGCAGTTGCACCGCCTGCGCACTCAACAGCCACGTCACTGCCAAATAGCAACATTAGTCACATAATGTACTGCACACCAGTCATGCAACGATACGCGCATTCATCGATTTAAGATTGAGTCTCATATTCACGATGTTATGCATCAAATCTTGCATGTCAGAATTGATTACCTGTACTGTATTTTCCATTCGCGTGCTGAATGTAACGGGTTCACGGGACCCCTTTGCAGCCACCAGTGACGACTACAAATCACCAACATGTTGAAGAAATACATTTAATCGTTTCTTGAATGGAATCGTGACACTCAAATAGTGACAATTTTATAAACTAGTGAATCGTTACAAGCCTACTGTACTTATGCGTCGGGAGAATGTCTAAATAGCCGTGGGTCCATCTGTCAATACGCAACTTAAAAGAACAAAATCTCATGCTAGGAACGTGTCAGTTTGTTGGTGGTGGCCGTGCCTCCCCGGGTTACTCGCAGTGTAACCCCTTTCAAACCCCATGTCTTTGGGATCATGAAAAATGCATGTCAATAAAGCAGTGGGAACTCGACGGGAAGGTGACTTTAAGTGGGTTGAATGCCATGAGCTTTTCGAACGTTAAGATGTTTGGTGACGCGGTGGCGAGATGTTAACTATCTCGCCTGGTATACATGAAGTCGTGGGTTATTTTCCGACCCTGACGCCCGCTGTATATTTGGAGTTTGCGTGTTCTCTCTACCCGTGGTGGCGTGGATTTTTCTCTGGGATTTTCCCTCCACATCTAGAATCAACGTGCGTTTCGAGTATTTGGCTGCTATACATTTCTACACGATCAGCCACTTCGTCGAGGTATCATTTGTGGCCAGGTCGTTTCTGATAATAAAAAAGCGATACGGCTCAGTGGGAATTACCTGGTAAAATAATAATAAAAGTTGCAAGTAGATGAAATCGATTTGAAGAAGCGTGTGGTTCGGAGACTGTGGTTGAAATGCAATCAGGCGAGCTGGTCTGGGGACGCGTGTGGACTGTGGCCGCGATGCGCTCCGGCAACTTTGCGAAGACAACTTACCGCAACTTTCCTCCTCCACCAGCGTACGACGAAACTATTTTTAATTTCCGTCATCGCACTTCTAAATGACACGCTGCGTTAGCGATGGACGCGTCTCAAATTCAGAGCTGCTGCGCGTATCTCCGTTGAACATTTCAAATGATGGACGATATAACGATTGATATCAATGATCAAATATCTTGTACATATATACAGTGCAAATATTTAGCATTAAACGTACTCTGTTCAGTTTAATAAAATGTCCTCAGTGCCATCGGTGCTTCGGCTTTTTGCTGAATATGGCGTGATATAAAACTTAGATTTATTGATCGATTCTATGAATTTTTTTTCAAATGTCTTGCTATTATCTTATAGATGTTTGTTGAGTATAAAAGCTCTTGACATTTTTTGATATGCCCTTTTTTTGCCCTGGCATAGGCTTCAAATGACGCTCGTATAAGTTTCAGCCCAATGGTTATTAGAATTCCTAGCGTGTACACATTTGCATCCTCCGAATGAACAGGACTCATAATTGCGCTACAATTATTTTCCAACCAAATTATATTGAATTCCACTCCCATTAAAACTCCTAACCACTTGTAATGGCTACTTAAATTCCCTTACAATGTAAATGACTCATCGTGTTGCTTACGATGAATTGGTCTTGAGAATAAAATCTTCAATGCCCGCTAATTTATAGCGTGAAATTACCTCTTTAAAAATTAGCAAATGTTCCTCATAACTATGACCCAAAGCAGTTTATAATACCAAATGAAGTCGATGTAAAAACAAACAACACATTTAACTCAAATTCCATCTTGCTTCTGTATTTATATCTACGGGGGTAGCGGTGATTCCCATTTCCTTCTTCAGGGCCATTTGGTGATTCAGATGTAGAGTTAGAAAGTCACCACAGCCAATTTGGTTTATTGTTACACTTTCTTTGCCGGCGCGAATGTAAAATAACGAGCTCACCCGTTCTTCCCACCACCCCGCCTCAACATAAACATATAAAAAAAAAACCACTTTTTTCAAATTTTCTTGCTGTGGTTTTCAAACCTGATGATGATTGCTTGTGTTGCATTCGAAACGTCGTGGTAATTTTATTGTTTTATATTTTTATTATTTTATTGTTTCCCTTCTACATGACTTTACCGAAAGAACCAAGAATATGACTCCCTGCAGTCACGAAAACTTTAAATCAAAATTTAACCGCCTTTACGGGGAGGGTTTCCACATAACTTTGAGATCCTTCAACAAACTCTGGGATAAGAAGGCTCAGCTGATCGAGTCTCTCACCTTTCTGAAGAGATGCCGCGACTCTGGGGTAATACCATTCGCATTTACACTGAGCTCTGCTGCTGTAACTTCTTCTAATGCGAAACGAATTCTTTCCAGAACTAGCTTAGCTCTTATCTCAGAGAAAATCAGACTTATACGCACCAAACTAGATCAGTTAGACAAGACACTCTACAAATCACACCTATCATTGACGGCAACAATGTCAACATCGGATTGGGAACATGTAGACAATATGACTGCCTCTTCAGCTGCCACTATGTCGACCAAATGTAAGGACAACCTGATTTCCAAATTTAACCTCCTCTCCAACAAAAGACCGGACCCACACACCAAAAAGCTAGACGTTAACAAAGTCGTAATTAATCGCAGTAACATTTCTATTTCCGATGGTCTCAAATCCATTTTAGCTAAAGGGCTAAACTTTGCAGTCACACCTAAACACATACCAGTTAATGATATCATTGTCCAAGTAGACGTGGCTCTCAAGGGCCTGGGTCACATCGCTGCAGACGTAGCAAGATCTTAAATCGCTGCAACCCTCAAAAACGTTAAGATGCCAGCTAGCAACCTCAGCAAAGATGAGCGTTTTGAATTATATAAATTAAAAAGAGGGATCACATTGTCATCCTCTCGGCCGACAAGGGCAATGCCACTGTCATCATGAATAAAATAGAATATAACAACAAAATTCAAGAATTACTCAACGATGGCAGCTATACAAAAATAAAAAGAAATCCCACCAACAGCCTCGTCATACAAACCAACAAAATCATTTCTGATTCAACCGCATTAATTGATCAAACCAAACAGTTCTCGTTGAAACCTTCTGCTGCCAGGCCACCAAGATTATACGGCTTACCAAAAATACATGAAGTAGATACACCCCTTCGTCCCATCGTCTCTACTATCAACTTCCCCACCTACAAACTGGCTCGTTTTCTGTCTGAAATCCTGCGGCCTTTCACTGGAAAAACCACCTCTGCGGTACAAAATTCTACTCACCTGGTATCGACAATCACGGGTATTTCCCTGTCCCCAGACGACCTGCTTGTCAGTTTGATGTAGTTTCCTTATTCATCAAAGTTCCTGTACCTGACACCATCGCAATCATTGAAGACTTGGTTCATCAAGGACTAAACACTGAGGTACCCCCCTGGTGAGACACTGCTTAACCAATACATACTTCACTTGGAATGGAACGTTCTACAAACAAACTGAGGGCACCCCAATGGGCTCCCCCCTATCTCCGGTTGTAGCTAACATTTTCATGGAGAAATTTGAGACTGACGCCATCTAGACTGCCACTCTGCGCCCAACCTTATGGAAGAGGTACGTGGATGACACTTTTATCATCTGGCCACATGGCCGGCCTGCTCTAGACCAATTCTTCGACCACATCAATTCCATACACTCAGCCATCAGATTTACCATGGAAGTCGAAAAAGATGGCAAGCTACGTTTTTTGGATTTGCTAATAAAAAAGAGACCTGATAGTTCAATGAACCACTGTCTGCAGGAAAGCTACCCATACGGATGCTTACCTGAAACCGGATTCCCACCACCATCCATCCCAGAAGAATTCCCTCATCAAGACTCTGCACCATAGAGCCCAAAGCATATCCGACCAGGAACACATAGCCAGTGAACTCAAGCACGTACACCAAGCTCTTAAGGCTAATGGTTACTCCGACTACACAATCCGCAAAGCTATCACTCCAACCATGAAGAAGGACCCTCTTGAGGAGCCTTTCAAAACCATCACTTTACCCTACATTGCGGGGATCACAAAAAAGTTATCCAAAATCTTGAATAAACACAAAATCCAGGTCCGATTCAACACATTACATGAAATCCGTGATCTGGTTCCGTCTGTAAAAGATGTGATTCTGGACATACAGTACCCTGGCGTCTGCAAACTAAGTTGCCTCTGTGGTAGTAGTTACTTTGGGAAACCAAACGATATGTCTCGGACTGCATTCGTGAACACAAAGCAGACCTAAAACACGGTAGGACCAACACCTCGGCCGTGGCAGATCACTGTTATAATTCAGTAGGCTCACATGACATTGACTTTTCCAAGACAGAGGTTCTTTGCAAGCCATCTGGCTACCATGAGAGATTCGTTCATGAGGCTATCCACATATACAGTACAAGCATAGAGACAATTTCAACCGAGAAGATGGATTCTGGCTTAGCAATCATTGGAAGGATTTGATAAACCATTTTGGGTCTTAATTGATTGTTCACGCTTATGGTGGCTTTCAGACCGCATCCATTATGTTCGTCTCCTCCCTCCTCTTTTCCGAACATAGATGGACTCGTCCATCTGAATAACTGCCAAATCGCTCTCCGTGGTGCTAACGTTAAAAAAGCACCACTTTTTTCAAAATTTCTTGCTGTGGTTTTCACACCTGATGATAATTGCTTATTTTGCAGTCGAAACGTCATGAGAATTGTATTGTTTTATATTTTTATTATTTTATTGTTTCCCTTCTATGTGACTTTACCGAAAGAACCAAGAATATGAATCCCTGCAGTCACGAAAGCTTCAAGTCAAAAAATAAACACACCCATTACCTTTAAAAATCCAATGTACACTTTTGGACTTCATTTCTTTTGCTACATTTATTTCCCAAATATCTTTAAAACGTACAATTTGTCACACCAGCAACCCCGTAAATATGGAACGTCGGTCGGGTGCCA